TTCAATTTTAAATTTAATAAATTTTCTCAAAATTTGATCTTTAAATACTTATAAAAAAAAAATTGTGCCTATGGATTTTTAATATTTTTCAACTGATATTGTAACAATATATCAGGAGCCTTGTATTAAATTTTTACACTTTTTTGCCCAACAGATAAAACTTAATTGATATTTATAGAAAAAAAAACTAAAAATATTGAAAACTGAAAATGTCCGTAAACAGCTCAAAAAGAGTCAAAATTGTATGGTGTATAGGAAATGCTGATATAAATATTCAGTGAAATTTTCATGTATTCGTTTTTGAATTACAACAAACTAAGGAAATCGCTACAAGGGAAATCGAGTGAATATCCAATGTTGTAAAAATTTGAATTTCAAACGCTCATAAAAATTTAATTTGACTTTCTTATAGACATTTTTTTTTTCATATGGGTGATAATCTCATAAGGAATCTTGTATTACATTTTAAAATCTCAGATTTAAAAAGAATAATTTTTACGAATTCTTAACTCAAAATAATTTTCTAATTTTCGTGATTTTTCCATCTTTTGTCAATTTTTAAACCTTAAATGCTTATAAAAAAGAACTGTGACTAAGGTTTTTATTTTTCATTTGCTTTTGAAACAATATACTAGAAGCCCTCTATTAAATTTTCAAGCTTTTTTAAGCAACCAATAAAATTTTATTGATATTTATAGAATAAAAAACTAAAAAAAATTGGAAACTGAAAATGTCCCTAAACAGCTCAAAATAAGTCAAAATATTTTAAAAAAGACATGGTCTATAGAAAATGCTAATATAAACAGTCAGTAAAATTGTCATGTAAATACGGTCATTTGTTTTAGAGTTACACCAAAAACCAAAATCGATTTTCTCGAAAACAGATTTTGCGTAAAAATTTCGCGTTTTTCTTTTGTTTTTCACCTCGCTTTTGAAGACTGCTGGGAAATTTTTACTTTCGACCCCCCCCCCCCCCCCCCCCAAAGTACCAACTAGATACTGATGAAGAAAATCCAAGCACCTTTATGGACAAGGTGATGACAGACACAAAAAAAAATTAAAAAACACACATCATTGTAATATCAATACATTCATAGTTCCACTCGGAATCTAAAAATATTGTGCTTGTCAACAAATACAGCTATTTGGACCTATATAAAATAAATTAACTGCCCTTTTGTCCAAATTCATCTTTAAGAATAAACTATTTATGACACAAAATAATTAAAAATTGACAAATCTGGATTTGGATATCCCGGTACCTAGGTACTATATATGGTATGATTATTATGAATAAGTTAAGTAAATACTATAGGTATATTTAAGTCCATATTTTGGTGAAATTTATTTAAAACCAAAATGAAAACTAAAAGGCAATAAAAAAAAAATCTTTTTGTAATATTTACCAAAACCTTATTAATGAGCCAATTAACAATTGTTTTATTTGCATACATGTAAGGTTTAGTAATAATTTATATGATGTATTATTATTGTTATTAATTTTGTAATCGAAATATCGGCAGCAGCAATGCGCAGTAAAATGTTTTAATTCGAACCGATACTGATATGTAATTATTCCGCCACGATTACGGTACTCAGCTGCTACAGATTATAATAATAATATTCATTAGGTATACGATAAAATATTATTATTATATCATTATATTAATTGCACAGGACTCTCGTCTCCCAAGGATATTAACAATAAACTGTCGACTAAAAGTACAGGTACATATACATATAATAAAATGGAATCGTCCATACTAATTTAATATCAGTCTTGTAAAATAATACTTTGAAAGTTGAATTTAATCACATACATCCAGAAAGTGCTTGAAAATTAAAATACATTTAAAATATGTACAGCATTAAGTGATTTTGAGCAAAAGTATTTAAGAACAAATAACTATAAATATTTGGCATGCATGTAAATACTTTTAACTTTTAAAATACATTTTAATTTTACTCATTTAATTGTGCAAGTACGAATACTAATTTAAAAATGTATCGTCACATTTAAATATCGTTATAACTTTGTACACGCTATAGGTTAGGTTCTATACTTATCATTGTTATAATAATATTATGTACACAAAACACACTACATTAGTATTAATTAATGTTGATCGACTGTGTGTCTACCTAGGTATATGTGGTATAACTGTTGATGGTTTTCGACGGAGTGCTCGTAACAATATTATTATTATTTATTACCAATAATGTATAATATTGCGTATATTTCGTGTGCAGGTAATAGTATAATATTAAAACTCTGCAGCGATGTATAAAAACTGCAGAGTTGAGATGTTTAAAACATTTTGTTTTAAACATCTAAATTGATCAAACATGGTTTTGTTTAAAACGTTTAAAACAAATGATTTAAACAACATAAAAAAAACAGTTTAAAACAGAAAATCATCATTTATGTGAATAGGTATAACTTATTATTTGTAAGTTCATACTGGCAACTCCTATTTATTATTATTTTTTATTTCATAAACAAATTTAAAATTTATAAAATGTATAATGATAATTTTACTTATTTAAATTACTAACACTTCAATGGTTATATAATATATTACTTCTGTGGTTCCGTAGGTAATATATTTATTAATTATTTATTTATTTGTTTAAATTACATACCAATAAATAACATAACAATTACTAATTAGTAATTAGTAATTAGTTGTACTCCAACATAAATAAAAAAAAAAAAATATAAATTAATATCAACTTGGTAACATAATATTTAAATATCACAATTGTCTTAATAGTTAATTGCATATCTTAGTCCGTGGCGCAAACCCGCCAAAATTGAAAATAGTAAATACTGTAATCAGTATTCTTTATCACGATGTAGATAACAAATCAGTTCTTTATCATCAATCATTATCAAAATATTCAAAAACAATTTTTAAGTGTAAAACCGATGCCGTGGTTAAATTACACGTCAAGTTATAAAAAATTATGATATTAAATTATTAAATAAATGATTTTTTTTTTAAATAAATTACATATTTTGTTTTAAACTCGATTAAATCATGTTTTAAACATGCTTAAAACAGCTGAAAAAATCATTTTAAAAAAACATGTTTTAAACAAAAAAATCATGTTTTTAATCAACTCTGATAAAAAGTATATTACAAATGTATAAATAACGATATAATAGTAGTAATAATAATAATAATATAATATACTACCCTGCCTGTACTATCCACGATGAGCACATTATCGCGTTGTTAAGCATCGAACGTTTTGCGCTAATTTTGAACGGGACTCGATAATAATATTATATATATATATATTATAGTGTATCAGATATCAAATTTGGAGTGGTGCTAGTGGCAGGTACTCGAGAGGTAATAAAGAAGCAGCAGTCAGCGTAAGGGGATACTCACCCCCGTACAATATAATAATAATAATATATAATATGTATACGGACTTTTAGAGAGATTTTTATACGTCGTGTATGGGTGTTTGGGGCGTACCCTCCGGCGTGTAGAAATATTCCCGAGGGTGGTTTAGTCGGTCGCCGGGGACAGGCGCGCGTGCTGAGGCCGGACAGATTGTTAGCGGTTATTATTATCTTTATTATTATTACTATCATTCTTTTTTTTTTTTCACTCGAAACCTGCGACGAGGTGACGCGATGAATTTTTCATGTCTGCACGCATTGTACGCCAGCCGGCCGCGTCGTCGTTATTTTCGGTAGTAGGTACCTCCGAACACAATACAACTTCCACGGCGTAATATAATCGGTAACACGACCTATAACTCCTATGACTATACTCCTAATAAATAATATTATAGTATGCCATCGGCTTGTTTACGAGATCGCCGACGCGTTGTAATCGAACGTCTCTGTTTTTACGAGTTTCTTTTATAACGAACGTCGTATAATATTATTATATGATGAATTTCTAAAAAAATATGATTATTCGTCGCGTAGTCGCGAATCGTTAAAAATCTGTAGACGCGCTCGAGAGACTTCGATAACTTTATTATAATATAGACATTAGCTGACTCGTCTCCGACTTCTGCTGCTGCAGCTTTTTTCAAAACGAAATTTCTTTTTTTTCATGCGGGCTAACATGCGACGTGTACCCCTTACTGGGTAAGATTTGCCCACTGGTGGTTTTTATTTGGCCGAAATTTATATGAACTGGGTTATACATATATTATTATTATTATTATTATTGTTTGTTTATTACGGAAAAAAAATTCCAATTAAATTTTAAATATAATTTATTTATTTATTTATTTATAATATATAAACGCCAAACGGCAATTCTAAATTAACACATTAAGTTTAAAATTAATAGATATAACAATAATATAATACAAATTCACACAAAATTAGAACATATGGAAAAACACAACATAATATAAACTAAGTGGTAATACCTTAATTTAGTAATGTATAACTATGATACAACATATTTATAAATGATATTATTTAATTACTTATTAAAATCAAAATTAAGATTGTTCAGATTACGAAGCATTCTGTGCAAGGGGTGATTATGTCCGTATAATGTATTGTGAGTTGGAACTTGGAAGAGTGCGTGATTTCTGGAGAAGAAGGAAGGGATACGGAAACATATTTTAGAGAGGAGATCGGGTGCATCTATGGTGCCACCTAGGAGCGAGGTTAAAAAGCGCTCATCAGCATCTTGTCGACGAGTTGACAGCATTGGTATACCCAATGAACTACGAATTAAGGAATAGTCATGCATTGGGTGAGGTATCTTCATTATGTAGGCAATGTAGGAAAGAAATCTATTTTGTACACGCTCGAGTCTTAGTTCGTCTTTAGCAAGGTAGGGATGCCACACTACCACACCGTATTCTAATATAGAACGTACTAATGAGAAGTATAATGTGCAGAGACAACGAGCAGAAGAAAACTGACTAGTATTGCGTTTAATAAAACCCAATACTTTTAAAGCTTTACCTACAGTGACATTAATATGGTGCTCAAAATTTAATGATGGTGAGTAATGAATACCAAGATCTTTATAGAGGAAGACACGGTTAAGAGAAGTGCCATTAAGAGAATAGTTGTGGTGGATAGGAGATCGCTGCCTAGAAAACGACATAACATGACATTTGCTTATATTAAGGCTAAGACCAATAGGTAATATATAAGATAGTATTAAGGGGAAAAGGAGAGAGAGAGAAAAAAAATACATATATATATATATATCGATCAAGTTGTGTGTACTGTACATAATAAAATATAATATAATTTGAGGGGAGCGAAATCTCAAATAAAAAATAAATAAATAATATATATATATATGGCCAATACATCGTTTAGGATGAGATTATATTTATATGTTTATCGTTTGGATGAAAGTCACAATAAGGGTAGTGATCAGTGGATACCTAACATGCCTAGTACATTTTATTTATACCCATTTTTAGAATCACATAATAATTCGAGATTAGCTGAAGACTATACCGCAGGGAGATTCATACTTTTACCATCGAGTTACACCCCTCAAAAATCGTCACAATAACGTTGGTAATAATTAAGTGCGTTTATCGAAATACCAGGTGACACTATAAATACATCATATTTATAATATTGAGAAATTATTGTATCATACAAATCTATGGGATGAAAATTGTAAAAAAAAAAAAAAATAACAGTAATAATAAATTGGAAACTGCACAGATTTCTATTAGTGAATAATTTTGCCGTTACTATTATTGGATTCAATGAAATTATCCTACTTTTTTCAAAGTACAAAATATGCCTTGTCACCTTGAAGTGAGTTTAAAATAATTATTAAGATTTTATAATTGGTGACTATTTATTATTTAGAAAATACCTATATGTAGAAATATTTGTTCACTCCTTTTCTTTTGCATTAAATGGAAGATTTAGCAATGAAACGAAAATATTTTTGAGTTCTAAATTTGGACAAAGTGCCACCTACCTGCCAATATAGGTTCACCACCCCTGTCTCCCCGTCCTAAATTATTTACTGCACTCTCCCGAGACCTTCAAGTTACAACTGCAGTGATATAACATAATAATGTGATTATATAGCTTTTACGGTAGACTATGTTTGCAACTTGAACACCTGCCAACTTCTTCGTGTCACTGCAATTGTGCCTGGCCCTATAGCCCACGCATAGAATCACATTTTTAACCAATAGTTGTAATATTAGTCGGCTAACTTATAAGTAGGTGTATTGATTGATGCTTTGACATTGGAGAGAGCAGAGCAGGGGTACCCTATATAACATGTTGGTCGATTACTCCTAGAAAAGACTTATAATTCATAACGTGATTTAAAGTACAAAAAACTGTGTCAATTCCGTGCCGTCAATAAAATGTATATATTGATATGCAGTGCAGTTATGTACATTATACCCATGGGCGACCATTGGGGGGGGAGGGGCAAGACAGGGCACTTGCCCCCCCTTGAAAAAATTTTTATGAACTTGTAGCTCAATAAATATTACCACAATATTACCTTATTACCGAGGAAAATTATTTGTTGAAATCACTTTTAAGATATGAATTAAGTATAAAAATATACTCATTGTTATCGTATATTAACATCATAGATAGCCAGATAGGTCGTAGTCTGTAGTTCGTATAGTAAAATATACGTAATATTTCTATACGTAAAATTATTTATCGCAGATAATTTGTGGTAAATCCATAAAGATCACAATATAGGTACTACAAATATTTTATAAGACAACATTAACTGCATTTTAGTCGTCCACTTTCTGTGTGACATTATATTTAGTGCTGACTGCTGAGTGTCATTAGTGATTATTATTTTTAAAATTTTCAATTTTTACTATGGATATTCGATCGTTTTTAAGTAAAAAAAAACCGAATAATATACTTAATTATATTATTTAATTTATATTTTTTATAATCTAATATAACATGCATGTATACATTTATATGTAAAAAATAACATTAAATCTCTATTAACTTACATTCGAAAATTTTTTTATTTTGACCCACCCTAAAATGTTACCTATGGGCGCCCATGATTATACCTACATATAACACACAATCAATAACAATCGCACGTGTCGTCGCGGTGTGTATAGGGTCCAATGTGTTTTTCTCCGACGAGGCTTTCAGCGGGGACCCGTGGCCAGTCGACTAGTACCGAACACCACCATCGGCTGTTTGGGGGGGGGGGTGGTCAGTTGTGTGGCTGGTAGGTTAGGTTAAGGGTGGGTGGGGGTGACCCGGAAGAGTGGCGTATTATATACATGTATAACGTATATAGGGGTTTGTTTATAAAAGCCATTTACGCGTCGGACGCCGTCGTCGCACTCGCGGTGGTGATATATTCGTCGTAATAAACACATCGCCGTCGAGGAGCTGACGAATGGATGGCCGGAGTGGGTCCGGCGGGCGTGTTGCTGCAGTTTTCTCTCCGTCCAAAACATCTTGGCCCATAACCACGCGGTACATAATATATATATGTGTGTCGTCTGTGTGTAGAGGATAACAAAGAGAAATCAGCGACAAGTCGGGGGATTAATAGAGTATAGAGCGTGACAGACGTCTTCGGGTGGTCCCTCTCTGACCGAGACGGCTGCAGTGGTGGTGACCGCGGGCGCGAGTTTTTGTTTTGCTTTCCGCCGGCTATTCGGACCGCGATTTATTATATTTATAAGTCCGAAGTCGGTCCGGTCGTCATCAATCAAACTGTCGTTATCGCCGACGACTTTGGAAGCTGCCGAGAGGGAGCTGCTGCAGAGCCTTGTCGATTTTACCCGCCCCTCGCCCCTCTTGCAGAATCCCTTCCGGCCACGGGATTGAATTTCGATTATAGGCGACGACGACGACAGTTTATATATTATATAGGTACCTCGTTTATGTAATATACCGGCGCACTCTCCACTCGATCTGAAAATCCTTCTTGCAACGATGACGATATACGTGCCATCGATATTAAAAGTCATCGTGTTTTTTCCCCTTCCCCATACGTGGTAAAAAATAAGTCTTGAGAGAGGACCGCTGCACAGGGTACACATGAATCAGACCCGTGTTTAGGCGAAAATTTAGTATGGTATTATTTTTTTTCACCGGGTAATTGGTATGTGACATTTTGTGACATTTAAAAAAAAAATTCGTTTCAAGTCCTTTATTTACAATTAATTTAAAGTTGTACAGCGTTTGCCTTAAATGTTAATCTTTATTTAGAATTAAAACGTCATGCAATGACTTTTGAGTTTATAATTTATATCGTTACATTTTTAGAACTTTACCTATAACTAAAACGTTTAATAACTTTTTCGTTCATCCAGGCTTTATTGTAAGGTCGTAAGGATTTATCCCAATTGCACAAGTGTAATTTGTGTTAAGTAACGGGACATGTGATGGGCCTCGGCCACCCTCTTTCAAAATGTATAGGTACTGTATTTTAAAAAATAATTAAGAAAATAAGTCAACAGTTTTTTAAAAATATGGAGAGACGAAGACAATATTGTCGGTGATCATCGATAGTAAAATTATAAAATCGATAACACACAGTGCAGTATCCTTACAAATAAACCAAACACATAATAAATAGATAAATTTCGTAGTTACTTGTTAGGTACGTGTGTAACAATACTCAACGATAACAAATTTGGTTTTTTAACCACTTACTTAAAATTATGTATAACAAATATATTCAAAAACGTTAACAGTTTACTATTTGGTTAAGCTGTTCTGGTTCTATATGTGTATTAGTTTATATTATGTGTACCTGCAGAATATTATAGTATTACTATGTATACCTATGTACAGTAGATCAAAACAGTTTTAAAACCAATTTTATTATTGCAAGGTATCAGTACTGTTATTTTGATAGTATATTATTGTAAATTTCATTCGACATATTATTATTCCCATACAGAATCCAATTTGTTTTTATACCTTTTGAAGTTGAACATAATAATAATACAATAATTATTCGTGCCTTAATGGTATTTGAAATATTGAGCGAAGTTGAGTTATTAAAATACCTATAATATACATCAGTGAATGGTTAAATAATTTTATTTTCTATATTAAAGTATCATTTAAAAACAAAATATGATTAAATTAATATTAACGTTGTAATAATTAAACATACACCACACCAATGGTTAGTAAATTTTAAATAGTTTATTAAATAATAATTGCGATAAAACAAATAGCCATACTTTATATTTTAATTGTATGGAAATATTTCTATTACCTTTTTACTGTACAGGTACCCTCCGTAAAATCATTCAAACAATTATTATTTGAGTATTAATATTATTTGTACAACCATTTTAATGTTAAAGCTGTAGTTTGATAAAAAAAATTATAAAAAAACTTAAATGGTATTTATTTTATTCGAAATGCACATGTGCCCGGGCAGGATTAAATTGTTTGGTACATTTATATTAGGGGTGGATAAACCGTCGATCTCTAATAATTTCGGTGAAGTCGATTATTACCAATAGTTTTTTTTTTAAACGTTTGTATATTTTATATTTTATAAAACGAGAAAATTATTAAATTTAAATACGGCGAGCTATATCAGTGAAATATTGATTCCTATACGATTGAACAATTAAAATAGTACCTAACTACGCTGCGCGGGGATATTGAATTAATTTCAATTTTGTATACCTACTTTTTATCGACGAATTCAAATATATTTTGTATTCTTTGATAACATTCACACATCCACAGAATATCGATACAATCAAATTCATCAATAAACTTTAAAAATATAGTTTTTCCTTGTAGACAGTGTGCCATAAACAAAAACTAAGTAATATTGTATTCAGACTAAAGCATAATAGACCTTATGTACCTATAACTGATGTAGTGGTCAGATGAGCAACACACTGCAGGTACGAAGTAATATGATTTCGAATTAGGCATTGCCCCACCCCACCCCAATTGATTGTACACTTTCCAATATTTAGAGATTAACCTAAATTATTTTATCTATTAATGGATTACCTATTATTAGTGGATGAGCTCAAGTACAGTAAGTACCTACATACTATTGAAGTATGTATACAATATTATGGTATTATGATAATATAACAATGAGTACATGTTCATATTATATTATACTTATGAGTAGGTATATAGGTACTATAGGTGCATAACAAATACTA